TGAGGATGCTAGAAAATATTGGACTAAAATCCGCATGTGGTTGGAAAAAATGAGAAAGAAACACATAGATTTGAAACCGGAGTTTTTTTTATTGGGAATCTTACCAGATACATACAGTAAAGACTTGAAATATCTGATTGTAAATGTATTAACAGCAGCTAGGATTGTATTTGCTAAAAATTGGAAAAATGAGAAAATACCATTGCAGGAAGAAATTATTAAGAAAATATTGGAATGTGCTGAGATGAGTAGATTCACATTTGAAATTAGAGAGCAAGAGGACCTTTTCTATCAATGGTTGGATGATAAAATACAATAATAGAATATTTAGAATGTTAGATAATAAGGAATATCTTTGTTTTTTCTTTTTCTTTTGTTATTTGACATCATATCTATAAAGGGTTTTTAGGATAGATTTGGTATGATTATATGATTTGTTATAGAATAAACTACCTAAATTATAGTTATCTCATAAAGTATGAATGAATAAAATCATAGTCAAATGATTTTTTAATAGTGATATGAGGATATATAAGTTTGGATTGATAATATGAGTTATTATGTAATGTAACTGTAATTGAGACTACGAAATGAATGCACAAAACTGATGAGCCAACCGACACACTGCTTGTATAAATGTATGGAAGAGAGCTGATGTTTTTATGTTTTGTTTGTTTTTAAAAAAAACAATAAAATTGTTTTCAAAAAAAACACCTGAGTGCACTAATTATCACATGAAACAAGAGGAAAACCTTCTATGCACAAATTCCACCCGTGCTTTCTACAGTTTTGTAAACAACAAACTAAAAGACTCAAGGTCCATCCCACCCCTGAAAGGACCTAATGGCAAAGACTGCAACGCCGACACCATCAAAGCAAACCACAGACAACTACTATGATCTAATACATATCAATTTTACAAATGACATTGTTGAAAAAGCACTGCACAATCTAAAACCATCCCTATCTATTGGATCGGACGGAATATGTGCCTACTTCTTAAAAAAGCTATCCACTGCCATAGCCGAACCTCTAAGCATAATCTTTGAAAAATCTTTCAGGACCAGCTCCTTGCCAAAACTATGGTCACAAGCCATGGTCATCCCAATCTTCAAAAAGGGAGACCCCAGCCTAGTTGAAAATTACAGACCAATCTCCTTATGCTGCGTCACCTGTAAAGTCATGGAATCAATTATTAACCAATCCATTATCCTCCACTTAGAGACAAACAACCTATTCTCTAATAAACAATTTGGTTTCAGAAAAAAAAACTATCCTGTGATCTGCAACTCTTACACTGCAAAAACATATGGACTACACAACTTGATCAGAGCAAAGCAATAGACGCAATCTACATAGACTTCTGTAAAGCCTTTGATTCAGTGGTACACAACAAGCTACTCCTAAAAATAAAATCTTATGGTATCTCTGGACACTTACATAACTGGATAGAAGCATTCCTGTCAAACAGACAACAAAAGGTCAAAATTGGGAGCGCCCTATCAAATTCTGTACCTGTCAACAGTGGTGTCCCCAAAGGCAGTGTTCTAGGACCAACTCTCTTCATACTCTACATAAATGACCTCTGTGATCATATTAAGAGCAACTGCATTCTCTTCGCTGATGATGTAAAGCTATTCAACACCACAGACAATACTGCTACCCTTCAAAAAGACCTTGACTATGTCTCAGAATGGTCAAACAAATGGCAGCTTCAAATCTCAACAAATAAATGCTCTGTCTTACATATTGGCAAAAAAAATCAGAGAATAAAATACAAGCTAAATAGTCAAGACCTTGCTGAGGATCCAAACTCTGTGAAGGACCTTGGAATACTCATCTCTAATGATCTAAGTGCTAGAGCCCACTGTAACTACATAGCCAAAAAGGCATTAAGAGTTGTTAACCTAATCCTACGTAACTTCTTCTCTGGTAATATCACACTACTAACTAGAGAATACAAAACATTTGGTAGACCTATACTTGAATACAGCTCATCAGTCTGGAACCCATATCATGTATCTGATATTAACACAATTGAGAAAGTCAAGAAATATTTCACAAGAAGAGTTCTCTGCTCCTCTACTCATTGCAGAATACCTTATGCCACTAGACTTGAAACTCTAGACCTAGAAAACCTAGAACTACGCCGCCTTCAGTCTGATCTAAATATAATATATAAAATCATACATTGCAATGTCCTACCTGCAAATGAATACTTCAGCTTCAACCATAGCAACACAAGAGCACACAATAGATACAAACTCAGGTTTAACCACACCAAACTTGATTGCAGAAAATAGGACTTCAGCAACAGAGTGGTCAATGTTCGGAATATTCTACCTGACTCTGGTTTCTTCCTCAAACCCCAAAAACTTTAACCTTAGACTGTCTACTATTGACCTCATCCCCTTCCTAAGAGGCCTGTAGGGGGCATGCATAAGCTCACCAATCGTGTCTACTGTCCCTGTCCTATTGTTTCTTTTTATTTTTCTTATAAGTATCTATGTCATGTATTCAAAACTATGTTTATTCTTATACTTGTATCTTGTAAGCAATTGACAAATCAAATAAATAAATAAATAAATAAATTTATATATCTATTTTATATGAAATATTTTATATTTCATATAAAATGTCCTATTGTTTCTTTTATTTTTCTTTTATTTTTCTTATATGTACTCATTTCATGTATTCATAATTATGTATACACTTTTACTTATCTCGTAAACAATTGACAAATAAATAAAATAAAATAAATAAATATTGACCTATATGCATTCTAGAAGGTTTTTAACTTTGGTTTCATGCATTTCTGTAGCAATATAGTGGTCATTTACATACAGTGCAACTCCACCTCCTCTTTTATGGGTTCTGGTTTTTTTGAACAGTTTGTATCCTTCTAGCAGTATGTTGTAGTCATGGGTTTCATCCCATCAAGTTTCTGTTATTCCATCTATATCATATCTACTTTCATGTATTAGTAGTTTGAGTTCACCCTGTTTGTTCCCCAGACTTTGTGTATTTGTATATAGGCACTTGAGATCTTTATGTCTGACACTGGGTATGCTTCCTGTGTCTCTTATTTGGTGTTTGTGTTTGTCTTCCTTCCTATCCCTCTTTACTTCATTATTTGACTTGCTTTCTAGGAGTTTTTGCTTGGAATTAGGTCCTGGAGATCCTAAAGATTGGTCAGCCATCCCCCCTCAATTTTAGTTTAAAGCCCTCCTGATAAGTTGAGTCAGTTGTTTTTTGAAAACATTCTTCCCAATCTTTGTGAGGTGCAGCCCATCCCTTGACAAAAGTCCATCATGGAGATAGTACAGACCATAGTCCAGGAATCCAAGGGTATTATTGGCAAAACAAAGCCAGTGATTCACTTCCAGAATCCTTAGTTCTCTTAGCAGATGTTGTCGTTTCATTGGCAGTACAGATTAAAAAACTATTTGTGCACCCAAGTCCCTGACTTTCTTGCATAGCTGCTCATAATAATTCAAAATGAAAATTATACTAAGAATATGACCAATAAACAAAAAGAAAATTTGGCCAAGAAATTAGATATCCAAATCGTCCAAAAAATAAGAATTACCATTTTGGCACACTGTTCAACGATCAAAGAAGATAATTATGAGACTCTACTGAAACAAATCAAAAAAGATCTAGAAAACTGGAATAATTTACAACTGTCACTAATAGGCAGAATATCAACAGTTAAAATGAATATACTACCAAAAGTCTTATTTTGTTTCAAAATATACCGATTAAATTGGATTTTTTCCCCCAAAGATTTGAACAAAATTTTTGTGACAGGGTAAGAGACCAAGGATTAAATTGAAACATTTTCAAGATGCAAAGAAAAGAGGAGGATTAGACTTCCTGGAATGGGAACTGTATAGTTTAACACTAGAATTGAAAGATCAGAATAAATTAGAATATTATAAAATATGGAACAAATTCTTCATATGGAGGGACATGAAAGGAAGTTCATAAAATTGAAATTAGAATTTAAAGCGAAATAGAAATGAGATATAAGAATAAGATCTATAAAGGTATAAAGTATATATATATATATGTGTGTGTGTGTATGTATATGTATATAAATGTTTGTGTTTCCTTATGATATTTATAATGTAAAATGTAAAGACTGAAGTGTATGTCAAAGAAAGTTCAATATTTTTAATGTTTATTTTCAATAAAAAAATTAATATTGATTTCAAGTCCTTTTTTTGTGTCATTCGTCCCTACATGTAGTAATAGAAAGGGGTAGTAGTCTGTGGGTTTTATTATTTTGATAAGGTTCTCAGCCACTTCTTTGATTTTTGCTCCAGGGAGACAACATCTTTGGATAGACTGTCTGATCTACAGATGGCAGGTTATGTTCCCTTGAGAATTGAATCTCCTAGCACTAGCACTAGACTTTTTTTTTCCTAGTGAGGTTTGGGGTGTTTTTCTATCTATCACAGAAGCATTTTGGAAACATCATGTAAGTTTAAATAGTGATATGAATATCATACAAAAAAGGAAAAATAAATAAATATAAAAATTGTTGACAATGTACAGTATTCCTAAAATCTTGTAGTATCATTGTAGTTTTGCTTCTGAAACCTCTTGAAATTTTGGCCTTCCTTTTGAAATTTCATAAGATTGCAGTCAAACAGACCAAAATTTTACAAAAAGTCAATTTTCAATTCTACAATTTTCAATTATTTTAGTTTTTTTTTTTTTACAGTTCCATGGATTTTGTAAGAAATTATCACAGATGCCATAATGCCAATTATTCCTTGACAGCATAAGTGGTCCAATCTTTTCAGCTTGCCAGGGCAGCATTAACTGAAGAGGAATCATCCTGGGCCTTTTATAAAATATATATAATTTAGTTAATGTATAGGTAATATAATGTGGCCCATGGACTGTGTGTTGGACATATCTGCTTTACTGTGTTGGCTATATTTTGCAATCACATTTATTATTCTAGATCCCATCATTTTGCAATACCTTACCTTTGAAGGTCATGATGGCAATCTGAGCTCCTGCACGGTGTAGACGTCTCAACCCTTCAGGCTCTGCATTGCGCTCCTCACAGAAGTACAAACGGGCAGCAAAAATGCGCAGTGTCAGGTTAGGATATGCACACAAGAAGTCAGCCACATGCCGGGCACAATCATAACATGGGCTCCAGGAGGTGAACCAAGTAATACGATAGCAGTGCCTTGGATCCAGATCCCAAGTGGAAATATAACGCAGGAAGAGAACTTCAACATGGCAACCTGACTAAATAGCAATGATACAGAAAAGCTGGGATAATGACCATCATAAAATGAAAGGCAGAACCTACAAAAAAAACCCAAGGAGGTTCTCCAGATCAGGACTGAGTTACTCAATCTACAAATCAAAATTGTGTGATCAGGAGTAACATATTTTCTTTGATGACAACATGTCAAGTTGCTAGTGAAAAGTTATATATCTGATTGTTTTCCTCCTATATCCACCTTCCTTCATACATGGAAATAAGTCTGTCTGCCTATCTGTCTGTTTATGTCTGTCTGTCTGTCTCTCTCTCTCTCTCTCTCTCTCTCGATCAATTGCAATGAAGCGTATAATATTTCTGAGTGAAGACAACAGATTTTAATTTAACACACTCCAGGTATTGTTTTGCCATTTATAAATAAATTTGCTGGTTCTATTGGGAAGATATTTAGATAATTGGCAGAGAAAATGAAATAATGTGTGATGAAGGTGCACTTCTGGGGTGATAAATTAATCAGGAGGTCATTTCAAATAAGATTTCTGCATAAATATGATTTAAGGTCTAGAGCTTTCTTTAACCTTTTAAAGATATCTGTCTTGTTTTTATACATCATGCATCTAGTCCCATTACACTGATCATGCTGGCATTGAGATACTACCAGAAACAATTCCTAGAACTATCAATTAAAAGGCAGCTATTTCATTTTCTCCCTCAATGGGTTTTTCATAGCAGGAAAAAGACAAACTCTTTAGATCAGGGGTGCCAAACTCGTGGCCCATGGGCTGGATGCGTCACATGCTGACCATGCCCACCTCCATTTTAGCAAAGGAGAAAAAGTCACAATATGTCATGTGATGACAATGTGATGCGAGTTTGGCACCGCTGCTTTAGATGCTATGAATGTGGTCAAATGATTCAAGGTAATTTTAAGGAAAACTAAAATGGAATATAGCCAAAGATTTTGGTCTTATGACATATTTTTTTTACTCATAATATTCAGCTGAATCTGGCTTTCTGCAATTTAAATCCATTATTCTGTTTTCTGCAAGGAAAGAAAGGGCGTTGGTACTTACCTGACATGCCCATTCTCTCTGAGCTGCAACGAGCATCCAGCAGTGGGAGGTGCTTAGACTTAGATTGGATAGGCTGGGCTTGATTGATAGGATGCTCCTCCTCCTCCACGTACTCCTCTTTAGCGTCCCCAGTTTTTGTGAAGACAAAGAGAGAGAAAGCTTGCCCTCTTTTTTTTGTAGTCATTGGCCAGACCAGGAACCCACCAGATGGAAATTGGGTGGTTCTGGATGCTCGTTGCAGCTCACAGAGAACAGGCATATCAGATAAGTACTAACACCCTTTCTCCAATGAGCTGCTCCAAAATCCAGCAGTGGGACATACCAAAGCTTGGCTTGTCCTATGGAAGGGTCTCTGTCTGTCTTGGAGTCCCCTCATGGTCCCTATGGACTCTCCTACCAAAGGGAGCCTCAGCATAGGCAAATACATCAATTTTGTAGTGTTTAATGAAAGGTGATGGTGAAGCCCATGTTGCCGCAGGACATATTTCTGTTGTTGGCTCTTGTGTGACTGAGACTGCTGAAGTTGCGGCGCTCCTAGTGGAATGCACTGTTATGTCTCTGGGCACTGGTAATAATTGAGTCTCATATGCCTTAGCTATTGTGGCTTTCAACAACCTGCCTATAGTTGAAGGTGATACCTTATGACCCTGAGTGGTTGGCTGAAAGGAAATGAAGAGCACCTCAGTCTTTCTAAAGGCAGTCATACAGTGTATGTACGAATGGAGAGCTCTCCTAACAACTAGTCGATGCCATTGATGTTCTAACCCCTGAGACGGACTCGGACAAAAGTTCAGAAGGACTAATTCTTGTGCCCTGTGAAAAGCCGAATTAATTTTTGGAATGAATGTCGGGTCTGGACAAAGAATCACTGTGTCAGAATGAAAAATGCAGAGGTCTTGTCGAACTGATAAGGCTGGTATCTCAGATATATGACGTGTTGATGTTATCACCACCAAGAAAACCACCTTGTAGGTGAGAAAGTGGAGACTCGTGGTTTTCAGTGGGTCGAAAGGAGTACCTTGTTAAGGTCCCATGTCAGATAGCAATGCACTACAGGAGGACATAAATTTGTTGCGCCATGAAGAAAACTTTGTATGCGTGGGTGATGTGATATAGATCTTAGACCCTTCCAGGTGACTACTGAAGCCAGGGCTGCTACCTGTCATCTCAAGGTGTTCAGTGAGAGGCCCTTGTTAAGGCCCCCTTGAAGGAAGTCCAATAGCTGTGCCACTGATGGAGAGAAGGGATCAATGTTGGATTTTACACACCATTTATTAAAAATGTGCCATGTGGCATTGTATATGAGATTTGTTGAGGGGTGTCGGGCCACTTGAATCGTTTCGATCACTCTGTATGAGAGATTCTCACTCCTCAGATGTCTCTGCTCAACCTCCATACAGTTAGGTGGAGCCACTGAGGGTCCGGGTGCAGAATTGGACCCTGGCTGAGTGAGACCCTTTGAGTGGGAATCCTCCAAGGATCTTGTGTTGACAGATCCCTGAGGTCCGCGAACCATGACCTCCTGGGCCAGTATGGTGCCACCAACAGCCTTTCTGCTTTTTCATTCAACAGTTTTTGGATCACCCTGGGAAACACTGGGAGAGGGGGAAAGGCATACAAAAGTCCTGGGGGCCACCGACAACGAAGAGCGTTGATGTTCTCCATTCCTTGGGCTGGGTACCTCTAGATGAACCTCGGAAGCTGTGAGTTCAGAGGAGAAGCAAACAGATCTATGACCGGTTGCCCAAATTTCTGTACTGCTTCTGAAACAAAGCCGGGTGCAGGCGCCACTCTGATTGATCGACTGTGGCCCTGCTCAACAGTCTGCTTGGGTGTTTGCCAAGCCAGAGATGTGTTCTGCTCTTAGGGAGACCAAGTTCTTTTCTGCCCAAAGGCACAGTCTCTCTGCTTCTCTCATTAGTTGTCTTGAGTGAGTATCCCCCTGCCTGTTTATGCGGGCTTTTGTCATTATGTTGTCGGTAAGTAGAAGGATGTTCTGTTCCTGAATATGAGGAAGGAAATTCCGAAGTGCCAGGTGAACCGCTCTGAGTTCCAGCCAGTTTATGTTGAGTGCTCATTCTGTTGCCGACCAACACCACTGAGCCGTGAGAGACTGGAAGTGAGCTCCCCATCCAAATAGGCTGGCATCCGTAGTGATGGTAAATCTGTGGGGTTCTTTGAAGGGGCAACCCTTGTTGATGGTCAGAACGGTCCACCAGTACAGAGATAGCAGAACTTTTGGTGGCACTATGACATGGGCCCTAGAGCTGCCTCTTCCTGTCCGTTGGTACGGTAGTAGGTACCATTGGAGGGTTCTGACATGGAACCGGGTCCAAGGGTTGATAGAAATACAAGATATCATTTCCCCCAATAAGATAGATAAAGTTGCTGTTGGAACATGCTTAAGGGTTCCAATTTCTTGAGCCAGCTTCCTAATACTGTCATGCCTTTCTGGGGATAAGAAAACTTTTCCCTCAACTGTATTAATAATCATGCCCAAATGAGTCAAGCTAGTTGATGGATATTGATGACTCTTTGCCCAGTTAATAGAGAACCCATGCTGTTGGAGGTGATCTGGGTGTCTAATTTGGCCTGTTCATATGAAGATGATGATAACAAGATGTCATCTAAGTAACACTGCAGTCTAACACGGGTTCCCCTGAGATGGATGGCCAGAGCTGCCAGAACTTTTGTAAAGATCCTTGGGGCAGATGAGCCCGAAGGGCAGGGCAATGTATTCAAAATGCTGATTATTATAACAAAATCTAAGAAATTTTCTATGTGAGGGTCTAATTGGAATGTGGAGATAGGCTTCCATTAAATCAATGGAGGTTAAAAAGTCGCCCTTTCTTGTGCTCAGAAGTATGGGCTGCAGTGTACTCATTTTAAACCTCCTATAAACTAGGGAACGATTATGTTGTTTTAAATCTAAAATTGCCCTCCATTCCCCCAAACTCTTTGGGACTAGAAAAAGTAGCGAATAAAAGCCTTGAGAAATTTAGAGAAATCAGAAGCCAAATTTTAAAAAATGTCTATCATATCCTGTAGGAGGGGGATATGCCACTGAAGAGGCCCATTATTTCTGGACGAGGTCCGAGAACATCTGCAGAACAGGTTTGACTTCCTCTTCCATTATTGGTTGGGAGAAGATCATATCATCTGACTCCCCTTGCAGTACAGATTGTTGAGCCAAGGGGGATGGAATATCAAGGTGGGAAGTAGATTTTGCCTTGAACAACAGAGATCTGAAAAGTTGATGGTGGAACAGACCCATAAAGGTTGGTTGGTCTGGCTTAATGCCTTCATTGTCTGACATGCTCCTTTTCAGGGGATCTGCCTCTGACAGGTTTTGGTCACTGTTGTGAATAGATCCTTCCTCAACATGTTCCATGTTCTGTCTCACCTGTATCCACAGGTGAGAATCCAAAGTTCAAATATTCAAGCAAAACAAAACCAGACCCAAAAGAGTTACTGCTCTGTTTTCACAGTCCTTGGCAGTCTTCCTGGAATCTATCTGGCAAGTCTGAATTGTCCATAAATCACGACGGCCGCTTCAAACATATTCTTCCGAATCCAAAAAGCACTTTGCTTCAAGCAGGGGAGAGGCATTACCACACTCCTTATATATCCCCTGAAGGGGCGCGTCAGTCTCTTTAATTAATCCTTGGCTGGACGTCTCTTTTCTAATTGAGATTGACGTCTCAATCTTCTCCTAGTCCTAGCATCAAGCCAGCATCCAGCAGTTTCATCATCACTTGAAGCCTCTGGCACACTTTCCTGATTAACAGTTAACACCTGAGGTGCAATCAGGGAGGGAGTTCCAGAAGAGGAAGACGCCTCTGAAACTTCTAATAAATTAGGCTCATCTCTCAGATTCAACTCCTCCTCCTCCCCCAGACTCCTCTCAACGTCACTCAGCAATGCAGGCTCGAATCTCAATGCCAGATCTT